CCGCCATCGACTTAGTAGACGCTGCCGTCGATTGCGAGTCCATGTACTCTAGACGCGGTACTCATACAAATGAGAAGCCGCCCTCGACCGAGTAGACGCTGGCGTCGATTCCGAGTCTATATACTCTTATAGACCCGTTACTCGCATAGAAGCCGCCCTAAAATGGACGCGCACTGCCTTCGAAAAGACGATGTCCAAGAGAAAACTTCAAGAAAAATCCCAAAGCATATGCAATCATTGTATACAAGATACGGTTTTCGTACAAAAAGCGCTAAGCTCGAAATARTTGATGTAGTATTTTTTGTCGATCAGCCACTTGTTTCAATCTAATTCTAAATACCGTACACTTATATAGATTTACTAAAAAGTGCCGCCCTCCAAAACATATATCTGGAGTAGTCCTTAAACGCTAATATCTGCTAACGACGAATGTATCACTGCAAGACTTCTCCAGATGGTCGGGGATAAACACTAAACAACTTCTCCAAACAAGTTATTTAACTTATAAACCGAATTCAAAATGAAAAATGTGCAGTTAAATTGAACTGTTGAGAGTAGAATGAATAACCTTCACGCATGTYTTCATACCTCACGATTGTATAGTCTACATATATCTAAGGGTACAAATACCAAATAAACGTTTATACTGTACAAACTACAATAAGATCACGTGTCGAACAATCAGCGAAACTCACTACAACTACACACAAAACAACGACTTTCAGATTAAACTTTTGGCCAAAGTTAAGTCGACAGACTGCCAAATAAAAACAATAATCAGACAGCTTGAGCCGTGTATTTGAAGTCCATAACTCCGTTTATAACTCATACTCAAATTTTAACTTACACGATACAATWTTCTCTACACTTTGCGCGGTTCTCACYGTAAACTGCACCCAAATCAATGATAAATGTTAATCTCTGAGAGAGATTTAATTATCATAAGCGAGCATTGTAAGCAAAAGTACATTGTTAATCTATTTTTAGTTCTTTGGTTGAATTTTCTAAAAAGAAACAATGAACATTTGAAAAGTTATTTTAAACTTTGCGAATTCCTCTTCTTGTAGTTACTTGATATAACTCCTTCAAGTACTAACCACGACCGGTATAAGCGACCGTTACAATCTAAAACTATACAAAATGCTAGTTTTGTGTACAATATAAAACATACATATATTCTTTACTTATATTATGTATAGATATAAACCAAAGTCATTCTTTTTGAAATTGATAAAGTTTTTCATCTTTGTCTAAGAGATTAACACCCTATCTCATCTAAACCCAACGAACTTTTTTTTTGTTTAAACGAATTCAACTTAAAATTGCAGTCAGTTTTTAAGTGYTGCTTTTGTAAAACTCCTTCACTTTTCAAAACTCTCGATTGAGTAGATCCCTGTGTGGTTTCCTTCGCAATTCCATGGTGGAAATCTCAAGTTTTGGGTTTAGTGGACCCCACGCTTTGCTAAACTATTGTGCGTCGGGTTTAAACAATAAAAGTGGAATGCTTTTGTGTTCAAGCCTAGACTAAGAGACAATATCAGTTAACAATGACGAGAAAACTGAGTCGTTTTGCCCAACGAGTTAAGTTTACAAGTGAAAGGCAAACAAAACTTGACATATATTAAATTCAAACGCCAAAACTTGTTGACTTTTGGCGCTCAAATTGATTTGCGAGTGTTTTCTGTAGACTTCTGCCTATTTTATTTTTGACACTTCCACACGTGTGCAGTGTGAAGCAATGTTTTACAATTAATATCGATACGCCAAACAAAAACGTCTCGATTCAATAAAAAAAATTATGACTCAGAATAAAACGCCGTAGATTAAATAGCTTGTTTTGTGTCTTTTCTGGTTAGTTTCATAACTAAAAACTTAATTAAAATATATATTTGGGTAAATATTTACAACTATCGAGAATTACCCGGCTAAAAAAAGTAAAATCGTTTTCTCAGACAATGCAAAGTTTTAAAATTTCTTGATATTTATTTTGAGTTGTTTTGTTGTTGTTTTTTTGGCTAAAAAGCGCCACGCTTGCTCCGGTGAAGCCTGTAAAAGTGCAAGAGTTAAGAATATAAAATTAGATGAAAAATGTTCTTCGATATTAATAAAAGATTTAAACAGTCAGGAATTTGGAGGTCACAACAGCAGGAATTTCGTATTTGTTACTCCGTCTTTTTTGATTTGAAAAGTGAATCTATCGTTGTTTGTATTAAATATGAAAAAATAAAAGTAAAAGAAAAAATAGTGGAGACAAGAAAAGTGAAGAGACTCCAGAGGCAATTTCTATGGCGCGCATCTTCGGAACTTTCAAAGTYAGTTTTTGAACTTTTGTACTGTTTTACCGCCTTGTGATTGTTAGCATAGCTGGGTTTATAACTTGTGAACCGGATAGGGTTATGATAAAGTCCGAGCTGCCTACAATACAAGTCTTTTTTGAGCCGACGTTATAAAACTGTACTCGGAGCACGCGCGCTTAGTGTTCATTGTCAATATCAGAATCAAGGCTTTGTCATGCAAAGATGCGCCACTGTGCGAGCACGCGTTGACAGTGAAAGATTACTTACGTTAAACAAAGGAACYCAATCAACCGGTGGACCGGACACCACCATAAGTGCGGGAAAAACTAATTTAAGTTCAGCTGTACTGTAGCATTCGCTAATAATGACAAAGGGTGAAGAACTCAACACTTGCGAGCCGGCTGAGCTCTGCCGTATAGAATGCGAACCAGGCAAGGATAAGGATAGCCAAGAAAGCTCCAGATACAGAAAATGGGCTCTTTTAGATAAAAGTCGAAGACTTAAAGCCAGCGCAAGAGAAAGAAAGCGACGACATGTGCTGAATAATGCCTTGGAGCTGCTAAGAAAGAAAGTACCKTGCGTAGACCAAAACCCACAGAAATTATCCAAGATAGAGGTCTTACGACTTGCCATCGACTACATWGCTATGCTGAGTTGCTACCTAAACAGCTCCAAGCCATCTGTTGAACAGCCTGCGATAGCAACACTCGGAGCGCAGGCTGCTAACATGTTCTTCAGCGATCAAGCAGCCGCGACTTTCAACAATAATTCGACTAGTCATTTTTTCCCAGCCGTCATACCAAAAACAGAACCGGACCCAAGCGCTCTGGACGAGTGTACAAAAAAAGTAAGTTGAAAAGACTTCTTGATTGTTATATAGACATGTTTTTGTTTATGATTTCATTCAAAACATCTGTTTCCTAGTTGTGAAACGGTTTTTTTTGCTCAAGTAGATGTGAGATTCTTCACAAGTTCCAGCGAATCATTACTAAGATGATGTTTTCTAATGATTATTTTCAGTGTGAACTGATCGACTATTTCTTGTCCACCAGGTTGCAGAACACTATGGAATACAGAGATCAGAGTTAGATGTCTATTTGCGAGGTTATCAAGATCCTTGCTAACACAGAACTTCAATCGAGTTAGGAACCCAATTAATTTTACTTTATCATGTACTTTATGTAAATAATAATTAAGTTATTTAATAACGACATTCAACTTTTTTAAGTTTGACGCATTGTATAGTTATTTATAGGGATTCTTTAAGGAGTCAAGTTTTTCCAAGTATCTTATGTCCCATATTGGGAGTAACGAGTCAAAAATAAGCCGCTGTTACCATCAGAATGTGATGGTCCAGCAAAACAGCAATAATGTTAATATTAGGAAAGTTTTATATAATATATATATCAAGTTTTTAATAAAGCAGTTTTTGAAAAGAAGATGTTTTATTTCATTGTAAAAAGAATTCGTGTTGGTTCTTTCCAGGGCACTATTTTTGTATCTTTTTGGTCAATGATAAAATCTTTGAATTGTTTGCGCTCTAAATTTTCTACGAAAAAAAAAATAATTCTCATTTTTTTGCTGTGAACAAATATCTGGAAAAAAGGTAAGTAATGAATCCAAACCGAAATTTTTGGTTTAAAAACCTTACACGCAAATCTAGAACAGCTTCTGAAGCGAAAGCGAAAGTCAACCGAAAATACTATAGTGTTAAGAACTACGTAATGGAGGCGAGATTTCCCGACCGCTAACATAGAAAAATCAAAAACTCCAGACCGCAGACCTATTTAGATGGTGTCTTATCAGCGATTTGATCTGAGATTTAAACTTTAAGAAGATTCTAACTCTGCCGTGGTCGGTCAAATAGCGCGTCATCTCTAACAGCTTTTATCGAGCCATGTGCGCTTGGGGCATTAATGTCTGACAGTCACGTATCGCAATATCTGATTAGAAATCCCAGCGAGTCACGAGGGAGTGTACACCGAAAAAAGCGCTGCATTTACTCTTTGATCTTGTACGCGTAGTATTCAACAAGATCAAAGTCTTCTACAATCACAAATATTGTCAAACAATAGATAAACCAGTCAAATGTCATGACGAGGCTTGCGTGATCGCGCAAACAAGTTAAAATGGAGAAATTGAAAGCACTGATGCTAGATTAGTATATTAACTAAGCTTTCACTACAGAACTGTAAAGATTGATTAAAAAAACTTTAATCAGATAGCTGGCAGACATTACAGAAGCCAAAAATATTTGAATTGCATTGTTTTGGAAGTTCAACGGTTTTTTTCCTTTGCCACGCGGTCCAGTTTTGGCGGTCTTCGCCGAACAATAGATATTATGGGGGCGAAGCTTAATCACACTGTTACTATGACAACATGCTAGAAAAAGAGCTTGCCCTGGTCCGATGTCAACATTTATTGATTAAGTAAAACAATAATAATAATAGACTTTGAATCTTTGTTCATGTGATTTTGAATCAACTCTATGAGTGAATGTGTTGGCTTTTCTTTGAACTGGACAATAAACTAGGTGAATTTTGTATAGACATTAACAGGTCCAAGTGAATTAACAAGAATGAACTTGCCTCTCTAGCACACGTGCAAAACACAACAGACTCCTTCAACAAAACCCTCCCAATTCAACATAATCAAAACTTTGTTTTATCAAAATACTGGCTTAACTCAAAAGGACGTATGTAAATTCAATTAACATGAGGATAACAAGTTTTTCTGTGTACAATTAAACTTTGGCTGAATTGGAAGTTKWATTCACACGACATAACTTGTGTTGTGTGCGACGCGCACAGGTTGTACGAATGGGACATTTGCAGGAAAACGTTGAATACCATAAACCGAATCTTTGAAAGGCACTTTGAAGATAGAATTTACAAAAATGAWTTCATTCTTTAAAGCTTAAATAGTTTTCAAACTAAAATAGACAGATACTTTTAATTGTAGTTGCTTAAACTGCAAAACTCTATTGTTCATTTGATAAATAATAAAGAAACTTTTTAGTTTTTGCAGTAGTTTTTCCATATAATATCGAATCAGAATACTTTCAAAACCACACTACACCCTTTTCTGGTTCTCAAAAAAAAGTCCAATGTTTGAACAGAGAAAATACTTTGTTTTTACTTTGCACAAAGTTTTATGATTCGCCATCGCAGATGATATTTTTTGTTGTTGTTTTTTGGTCATTTTCTCGTTGTATCTAAATTGCATGTTTATTTTTTGCTGGTTCAATATCAGGAACGCCCTAATTTTGTTTAATCGAAATGATTCAGGGTAGTTTTATTGATAAAACATTAGCAATTTGAATACCTAGGAMKCTCTTTCAAAACAAGCGGGAACGAAGCACGAGAGCCAAATCAAAAGCCATTAACACCAGAAAAACGCCCTGAACAAGCTAGAAAACAGATGAGAAAACTTTGAAATGATTTATTCTGAGTTTTAATGATGGTTCCTTTGGATATACAAAATATAATTTTGAAAATGAAAACTAAGGTTTCTAAACACTTCAAACTCACTCACACGAAAATATTCAGCTCATAAACAAACATAAGAAAAAGTCTTTTTCTTCCGCTTTTTTCGAAGTGCTAAAATCACGATTGAAAGACAAATACTCAAATACAAAATTCACGAAATGCCTAAATGTTTTTAAATAAAATGATCTTTATAAATGTTTCTTAAGATTTGAAATATAATGCTGCAACTCAAGAYTAGACGCAACAAAGACGGAGTATGTCAATAACAGCGCGAAAATTGATAAGAAAGCGTGAAGCTCTCGACCAATTTTACGGTGTGATTGACCTTCACTGCTTCAAGTCGCGCAGTRGAAAGCTCTATAGCAGTGAATACACCACCGGTTTTTAAGTCTTAGTCTGTCAGTGTTTTGATTTTTTAAAGATTTTCTCGATTTTCTTTTGAAGAGCGCTGAATTGGTCCGCACGAGGGTTGTGCTTTAGGCGGGAAAATTCGTTAGACACGAAAACTTCAAAAACAAAACCCAAAACTCTGTGAAGTAACACTAAAAAGCCTCGCTCTTTATTAGAATTAGCTTTTGAGATAATAGCGGGAAAGATATGAAATATCATGCTTCTGAATGGCCTTAAGGGATGGTTTTATTACTAACACGCTAGAAAAAACACCAGTAGACTTGTATGGCAGATGAATCGAGTAGTTCCGATTCAATGATTTCATTACTAAACAAAACAAAGCCAACACCACATTAAGCTGCAGACCATTAACACATGAAACATAGCTTTTTATCATTAGAAATGCTTTAAAAATGAGTCATAATCAGCTTATAAAATTTTCAAACCAAATTTCCGTAGAATTAAGAGCTTTTGAAGCGCGCGCGCGTTGCTGAAAAATGGCGGGAATATTCTCTTTTGTGCTCGCAAGAGATTTTTATGGATTTTGCAAAGAATACAACCACCTGTTGCTGGCTGACAGCTGCAAAAATTCGTCTACCTTATAGCTAATTACTGCATTACTACACACTATCTCGACAAAATAAAATACGTTTGAATTAATGTTCAAAAAATGGTCGCGAGTTGAATGKTTTTTTACTTTTCGACTTCGTTACTACGAAACAATATCAGCAAATTTGAAAGATAACATTGCATAGTTCTTGTTAAAATCGTATCGATAATATCTGTGTAAATAGTATCTAAGTGCMAAGAAGTGAATTTTAGTTGTTTGTGCCTAGTTTACACACGCATTACATCGGAAATTAGTTTTATGGAATGAATTTTCGATATTTTAAAAATAAAAAAAAAATAAAAGTGTGATGAAATCAAATTGTTCTATACAGTAAGTCTGAACACGCCCCCCGCGCGCCATTTTGCGAAGACTGGAGAATCCTACATGAGCGAAATAATGTTTTTGAACTGTTATTGACCAATATTTTTCGTTGTTTTCAAGTACTCGTTAAGCTGTACGGGTGACTAACGGGTAGTTTTATCTTTTGACCTTGMRGATGACAGGTGCAGACCAAAAAAATATTRCACAAGTAAAACAACCGGTCTTATTGACAAAAGTCATTCTCGTACGATTATGATTACATTTCGTCAAGGAWTATRTGGCTGCAKTTACCGACAAGAAAGACTTTCTGCASCTGTATTTCSACTTTCGTCTCGAATTTTRCTCAACATCTGTAGATATAACAGATGGGCAGAGTGGGCTACAGAGTACTTTTTGAATGTTGTAGATTTGATTTACATGACACAGGTCAATTTATAGAGTTAGAAAAAGAGCCGCCTTAAAGACTTCGTGCGCCAGCAACGGTTTTGAGTAARTTTTAGCGAGTTGTAGACTTCATTGATAAATAAGATCGAAAAGTCTTGCGGTTCCATAATACCACGACATGTGTATCTGATATACATGTATTTATGACTCGCGCAGGTCACAAGCGACAGTTGTGTATTCATTTATCGACCTGCAGCGGCAAATCAGGGATTTGATTTACGAGAAATTCTATATTTGGTTGGATGCGTCAGTCTTACAAAGACAAAAGCTTTTAAGTGTAAATTTACCTTGATAAAACTTTTAAATAAAGGATTGCTTTAATTTTCGCGAGTCAATTTACGATAATTCCAAGCTACAGTATYGAGAAAACACACAAAGTTCATTAAGTACACCATAAATATGCAGAAAAAAAGCCTAACATCCAAACTTAACGCGTACTACGAGAGAAAAACATTTGAAGGGTAATTTCTCCGACATCTCAGTGCGTTCTTGTCGATATCAAAGTTCAAGAAAATGAGCGGCTTTCGTTCTCACAAGTATACCTCGAATGAGCGCCGCCCTCGACGCCACGCCATGAAATAAAGTAAATGCAGCACTGGAAGGCTGTTTAATACTTTATCGTCGTTTAAGGAATGCTTTCGCCAAATCTTTTCATGACTACGCGATATATAAACACAGCATGTCGTAAGAGAAAATGGATAACATCCCAGCTCTCTTATAGAATGAAAACATGGTGTCTGGCTTGTTTTACACCGCGAATATCCGTCTTTTCTACGCGGTTAAGACGCGTTGTTGTGTGGTTTATTGTAGTGACAGTCTTTGTTGAAAAGATACCCTAGGATCGCGGCTGCGATACGCTTCAACAATAAGTAAACTATGTAATACGGATGAAATGCGTCTTAATCTTTAATCTTAAAACTCGCGCGATGAAGCTTACSAGCGAGTCGCGAGAACACATTAACGACACGAATTTCTTGCATGCCTGGTCTGTTCATGGCTGAAGTGTGGAAATCAATCCATTCTGCGGTTCGTGACATTGTTGTGTCTTTTTAAAAGTAAACTGATTCAGTTAATAAGCTAATGGATTGGATCAAAAGATTACATTTCACCCGCAAATTAYTTCAYGTAACAACGTGGTATAAATGAACGACACGCAACTCCTAAAACACGAAAAAACGTCCCTACGCAAGGGCGTTTACSCAACATTCTAAAGRAACAAACTATTTCACGTAACAACGCTGTAACTATTCGACAAACCCTTTTTATGATAAACACGAAAAAACGTCAGTACGTAAGTACGTTGCGCAATGTAAAAAATGCACAACTTACTTCACGTAACAGTGTGGTAACCATTCAACGGCACGTGACTCTTTTTGAGATAAACACGACAAAACGTCAGTACGTAAGTGCTTTACGCAACGTCAAAAAAAGCACAATTTACTTCATGAAGCAACGTGGTAAGAATTCAACGACCAGATAAAAGATAGGTATAACGGTTGTTAAAATATAACACCTCACAGTCTTTCAACTGACTTACGTGAATTACGAAGCAGTCTTTTTAGTTAATAAGGATTACGCAAGGCGTTACGCAACGTACTTATAAAACAGTAACCTTCAACGACATGTAGCTCTTTTCAGATGATAAAAAACGAAAGAACGTCAGCACAAAAGGGCGTTACGCAATGTTATAAAATGCACAAGTTATAYTTCACGTAACAGTGTGGTAAGTATCAGTAACGACACGCAACTCTTCTTATGCGATAAACGAAAAGCGACATCAAAATCGGTTACTTCACGTAATAAGGTCGTAACCATTCAATATGCCCCTTAGGTACGCAGCAATCAATACGCATACATTTTTTTGTTTGTTGCGTATTAATTGAATGGAAGATTAACCGCACGGTGACTTACAGTAATGCTTTGTAGATTCAGTGATTTTGTAACCGTTCCGTTAGTGATTGCATAATACCGTGATTGTTTCCGTAATGTCAAATATACAGCACATGCGTAATTGCGGAATCGTTACTGAAAACGTTGGTGTTTCTACGATGAAAATAATAAATTCTACACTGTAACTGAAMCCAAGTTACTGGTATCTCGGACCTCGGTCATGGTTGGGGCAGGGGAACTGAGGACAGGGTCGAAACTGATCAGTTATCCAGTGTTGTAACTTGTGCATCGGGATCTCATATCAGTTGCATAAAATACATGGTGATCAGGGATCGTAGAAGAAAAATTCACGGTCCTTTGATGACAAGGGACGGTAAGTTCACACCTCGGTCCATACACAAGTATTATAATAGATATTCAGAAACATCAACATGCATAGCATGCTGTATTTATTAACAGAACTAAAATAATGACGTCATTCATCTGATATTACGTCATATATTTATCACGATGTCATTATAGGCTACACTCTGAGCTTTTCTAGAATATGCAATTGTAACGACGTCGTACGGTTATGACGTCATCTATCTAGCACTACGTCATTAATTTAGCATGACATCAACCTGCGCTACACTCTGAAAGCCGTTCCAGAATTTGTAATAATAATGACGCTATTATTATTCACATATTTTTCATGATGCCATCGTTTTGTTGCAAACTTTGCAAACTGAGTTTAGAGTCTACCTGCCTTCGAAGCTGTTGGATAGTAACGCCCATAATAAATATGACGTCACATCTTTATCATCACGTGGTACATGACGTCAACGGCAAGTGAAATTCTTTGTTGTCAAAAATGATAGGACGCCTGCAAGGTTTCCTAGGATTGGTCGGCTTGTGAACTGTTAAGGTCTCTAAAAACGCAATTGGGTGAAGAACTTTCAGTGAACTACAATGCTGACTCCTCAGATGAATACTTATTTATGAATGCTATAGTTTTTAGAAACCTTTTACGATTGATTTAGCCTAAAGAAGTCCCTTAATATGCTTTGATAGAACCACGAATAAGTCGGAAAAAAAACAGTTAGTAAAGAAATAAAAAGCTAAAAACAGAAGAAAAAAGGAACAAAACAAGGACCAAAGAGGAAGCAAAGTAACAAGCAAAAAATAAAATCAAAACAAAACAAGAAAGCAAGAAAAACCATAAAAGCAAAGATTCATTGAAACAAAATAAAAAAAAACACACTTAAGAAAGTAGACAAAACAAGCAAACGAGTCATGTAATTAGACAAACACCAAAACCACAAAAAGAGGGTAACTCTACTAGCAAGTAAGCAAGCAAATAAGCAAGCAAGAAAGTATAACTTTTTCAGTTGCTATGCAAATAGGCAAATAGATAATCAACCCACGGACATGCGCAGTATAAAGGATATTTATGTAAAAGTTTGAAGATTCCAGTCCCCACGGACATAGGCATTCCCATGATGATGCACTCGCTCACTCCTAAAAGAGAGAGAAAAAAGTTTATTTCGGTGGAGACTATCGGTAAACTAGTGTGAGCTGCGTCGTTGTTTCTAAAGAAACAGTTGTGTAAAAARATAAATTTACCTTTTTCTAAGGTGTCAGTTTTAAATTGTCTTTTTACACTAATGTTTATTTCGACTTGTAGCAACATTCAATCATCATTCTAAAGTCCGATTAGAGTTTTTCTGGACTTCGATACTTTCCTCGCCATTTTCATTTTATCACCCTACACTGTAAAAAAATCTCAAGCTTTCAATTGACAAAATCAACCAGAATTTCCCAATTAGTCCATATAACATAGTTTATGTAATAKGATTTCTAGTTCGCTAAGAAAATCTTTGTTTGTCACAGAGAAGTGAGGAACTCTCCTTTATGCCACGAGGATGACAACACAAAGACGCCTAAATGAGTACAAGAGAAAACCAAAACAAAACAAGAGAATAAGATATAATTTACTCTCAAAACTGTTAGAAACATTAATYGTATTAAAGGAATATACCATAAGGAAGAAACAAAATAAACTAACAAATTGTTTTTTTCTGATAATTTATGCGAGTAAGATGAGAGACAACAACTTGACTACTGCAGTCGCTTTAAACACGTGTCCATTCAACATGTGACGCTACAAAGACGCCCCTTACCATAAAAGARACTTCCAAACATCATCATTAGTTACATTGTACAATTAGATTTGTTCAATTATCTTTTCCATAATTCTAAACCTTTAAACCATGCTTTGCCTTTGGAGGTGGTTTTAAATGTCATTATGCGCGTGTAGCGCATTATATTGAGCGCTTTGTAAGAACGCTTTTTGTTGTTATTTCGAACAGCTTAAGTCTTAAATTCTCAATGGTTTAATATCTTTTCTTTGCTTGTAAAAGAGTCCCCTTGTGTTTAAGAATGATTGTTGTTATTTCGAGATTATATAATGGCGGCATTTTGTCGGGGATTAGAATCAATGTTACATCATGATTACACAAACAAACAGTTTACACAACAAAACACTTTGCTAACTTTCAAGTCTTGAAAGGGAACGACACCCCACATTTTCTATCATTTCAATACAATATTTTAAACAAGTTTACGAAGTAAATACATTTGAATAAATAGGTTTTTCCGGGAATTTTATACTTCATAATATTGATTAATTATAGTGCATATTTGAAAAGGTTGTTTCATTGTCTTTTTGAACTTATWGTGCGCTGATAAATCAACTCAATTCTTGATTCTCAAGTTTAATTCACTTAAAGTAACACAAAGAATCGCCAAAATACCTCAATTATCTTTGAAATTACCTAAAGGCAAATCTTTGTTTGAAAGCGACGCCGATTTTGAAAAGAAGCCGATAATTGACTCACCAAAAACAAAAAATCTCGCTCCTAATAAGGAATGGTTATCAACCGCCCATAGTAACAGTTGCTAGGATACGTYAAATGGATAATATAACTTATCGATTTAATTAATATAGCGATACAAATGAGWAATAAGATCTTTGGCTTTTATAATACAAATTACTCCGGCTTTCATAATGAATAAAGCTTGGCTTGAA